TTGAAGTATCGACACACCAGAATACGAATAATTAATACATTCATATAAATACATGTTTATGAAATCAGAAGTTTCATGATGTCAGTTTGATCATATTTCAATAAGTTCATTATATTGAGTAAAGATTATATCCTGGTTGTATTTTTATAATGTTGTCTATTTTTATTCAAACACATGAGCATTAACATTTCTACTACCTGGCTGGGTAAATCCCGTTAATTTTTTCATCACGACTGCCCACAAAATCCTATATATCTGTATGAAATAATATAGTGATATATGAATGAGATACCTGATAATTGCAAAATCACTGTCGCTGTCAATTTATCATCATCATCATCATCATCATCATAAAACTATCCCCGATCTCCCTACAGCTCGAGTTCAGTACTATACTTTCTCTGGGAATAATTTTTCTCCTCAGGTTCAGCAAATAGTATTTTATATATTTATATATAATGATTCTTTATACAATACGACAGCAACAGTACCAGTATATAAACAGGGTGTCTCGGAAATTTGGGCAATGAATGAAATGGATGATAAAAGATGAAAGAACAGGACGAAATGGAAGAATATGTAGAAAGGTATTGAGCTCCAAACTATGCCAGAAACTTCTGTGAATCATTCATCATAGGTTAATATCCCAACCCAAGCGTTTGCTTTCGGCGTGATTACAAGCGCCGGAAGTATCATTTTCTTCAACAGACTTGCAGAACGTATCCATCCCACATAAAAGGAGATGTGTGACGTTAAATAGCAGGCAGAAAGAAGCGGAAAAGTGAGGTTACAAAGACACTTATAGCTAATTGAAAATTATAAATGAATAATTATATTCATTTGTGTGAACTGTATTTACTGAAACTTGCACTGAGATTCCATCAAATTGTGTATAACCGTAACATTAACCTAATACTGATAACTCTTCAATAACGTTATTTTGATTGAAATTCTTACTTTCACTGTCGTTCCATGCCAAGAGCAATGTTGATTTCCACATAACTGGTATACATGCAACCTTGTTGATTGTTGTATACAGAACAATATCATAATAAAAGCACCTCTCTGCAACAGTTATGTAAAGTTTATAATGGTTAAGTGGAGGTCCTAAATACGTTTGTTCTCATTATCTATAGGATTGAAAAAACGGGTAATTATTGTTTTGACAATCAGTTCAACAGAAAGTTCCCATGATAATTGGGAAACATTAGATTATTCTTATAAAAAAAAATAGTTCTGAATATGTTATAGAAAGGACCCCGCACCGCATCAATGGGAAATTTTTGATATATTGTAGAACTCGTGGTGCTGAGCAAATGTCTCCATTGCACCAATGCTCTAAAATCAACAATTACGATTATATTGGGTGATAAAGTTGACTTTTCCAAAATTTTAGATAGAAATTGTGAAGACACCTTTCATAATTTCAAAACCAAATCAACTGTCCATTGCTTGTTCGAATGACCGAAACGAATCTACTATGAAGTATAATAATTCCTGCACGTACTAACAATATACAGGGTGGGTCGGAACAAAGCGAATATTTCAGTGGTTTTCGGAAAAGTGGGCAGTGGAATTTCATTTAAATTCTGTAGTATACAAAATCATCCCCAATTCGTGATATTAGCATCTCCTAATCAGACATATTATATACAAGATGTTTCATTTTTGATAAAGTCACATCCATGTTAGGTTCTTATTATTGGCATCTTTATTTTGACTTACAACTTGAACAACCTACCTAATCGGAAACTCGTTCATTCCTAATAACTTCTCAAGTAGTATGTACAGATTCTTGTGATCCATTTTATTGACCTTGTTTCATACCGACATTATATTCAATAAAAATTGAACCATTTGATGCATTATATTTTGAATAATATGTAAGAACGTACTGCAGGTATCATAATAGGTTTTTCAGGTGATAAGGAAACAATCAACAATAGGAAACAAGAACAATGAATATACAATTATTATCGATAACAAAATATTCTGATATCCAATCACAACAGAAGTTCTGTACCTTACATAGTGTATAACTTTCATGTTATGACAAGCAATTATTTTTTCTCGATCACTATTTCATAAAACGAATTCCTTCCTCGAAATGATGGGGATCAGGGCATATATACTGACTAATTTTTTCGATTGTAAAAAAATTATTCACAGATTCCCTGATTCACTTTAATTTTGTTATCGTATCCGAATCAAGAAACATACCACTCATTACAGGAAATAAGTTAATCATCAGTCTATTGTAATTCTTACATCTCAGGTATATTTTACTTCTGATACCTATTCGATATTTATTCTGAATGATATTTGAAAATATTAGAAATAATATGTTTATTTCAATTTCGAGTACCTCCTGATGCAATACTGATGATGTATACAAGGTGTATTTGAATAACATCGAAAAAATTCAAGGGGTGTTTCTTGTGACATTCTGGAAAATGAAGTTCATAAAAACAAATGTCCTATCTTGCTCCGTTTTGTAGATACAGGATGTTGAAGTTGGAAGTAATAATTGTTTTTATTATTAACCTTCCTGTGAAAGCTTTCATGGTGCTAACATTCAGTATGGATGGAGACTGAGAAAAACCCAAAATTTCAAGATGATTCTAATTGGGGTCTTGAGAACACCTACTTTAAAATTTGGAGTCAGATCGAATTTTTATTGTTTCCTCAAAAACTAAGCTAGATACAAAAATCACACAGAGGATAAAAAAGTTGTTATGATAATAGTTCAATCTAATAAAAATATGAAACTCAGAAAAACCGGTGGTGTACATACAATGACATTCACCATGACTATCGATAAATTTACCCACTGTGACGCCACTGGAAATATTATTCCGAATCTAATTGCACTAGAAGAAGCTCCATATCACTATTTACAGAACCACAACGTTTTATTGAAATTGATGATTGAGAAATAGAAAGAAAGAAAAAATTCATGGAAATATCAATACCCTGTATCTCGATAACGAAGCAACTTAGGAAACATGCGAGGGGTAAATCTCCCTGGAAGTCTGGTGTACACTCCGTTGGAAGTCTTTGGAAGTCTTTGGGAGTCCTTGGAAGTCTTTGGAAGTCTTTGGAAGTCTTTGGTAATTGGAAGTCTGGTGTTCACATTTTTCCTGGAGATCTACCCCTCGGAAACATGTTTATATGAACTTTATATCCTAAAATATCACAAGGAATCAACCCTTGAATTTCTTCGGTGCTATTTAGATACACCCTGTATGTATTATGTGGTTAACCTGTCTCCTTTAAATGACGCCCATGTTTTCTTCCCAATATTAAATACCATTGAGAAAAATAGGAGCAATTCTTGTGTAACTGCGTTATAAATGATTCGAAGGCAAATCAACTGATGTGTAGAAACTGCACACATTTATTATCGAGATGAAAATACTCCAAAAGTTCAAAGGATCCAAAAAACTACGCTATCGCCCTAGCCCCTCTAGGTATAGGCACGTTGTACTACGAAAATAATAGGGATTCTATTTCGTGTAGTGATTCACACGAGACCACACACGAGATAAAGTCTCGTCTCGTCTCGCCGATGGAATATGAAGTCTTGTCTCGAGTCTCGTCTCGCAGCCTCGAGTCTCGTCTTGTCTCGCGTCTCGTACGAGAGTCTCGCAAATGTATCGCAATTTCGTCATGCATAATCTTGTTCCAGTCTAGTACGGAATATTTACCTTTGCCCACTCTTTAGGTATAATGTAGTAGTAGGAAGAGAAATTTACAACAAAAATAACATTATTTATTGAAAAGTAAGTACCTAATAGGTACATACTTACATCATACATCTGAAAAAGGGAAAAAAACATAGCATTATACAGGGTCCCATGAGTAATGGATCAAAAGAAGTGGGGTGGTAGGGGGGTCATATGTATTCAAACTAACGGTATATATATGTTATCAATTTTGTTGATGGTTCGAAAGTTATTGAATTTTTTTGAAAAATGCGACCCATTTCAAAAAAATTAATAACAAGAAGGCTGTTTTGAATAACCACATATGTTATACTATTTCGGAATCTGTATTAAATAGGCAACTTTCCTTCAATGATTGGTTATTTCTGTGGGGTAGTTTTCAAATCTGCCAGCGGCATTTAAAAATCGACTTGAATATTTCATTCGCTGACAAAACTCAAGGGAAACAAAATTTTTCTCAGGTGATTGATAAGAAGTAATACATGTCATAAAATAATTTCTGGGGGAAGGTGCATCCATGTGGATGGAATTTGTGGAAGAAAAAATCACAAGTGTGACATAGTTTTATTGTTATTAATTCTTTTTATCGGAATGAAAAAACTTTATTTACTTTTGATTGGAAATGACCCCCCTACCACCCCACTTCTTTTGATCCATCATTTATGGGACACCCTGTATATTCGAAAGTTATAGAAATAAAATGAAATGTTTTATCAATCTGTGCAAAATAATCTTGATTCTTTCTTAGTATGTTGCATAATATTATGAATGAATTCTCATGTCACCAGAAATATTTACCTGCGAGACTCTCGCACGAGACACGAGAAGTCTTGCACGAGACTCGAGACGAGACCAATAAAAGTCTTGTCTCATCTTGTCCGAGTCTCGTCTCGAGGAGTCTCGTCTCGAGTCTTGTCTCGAAAACGAGACGAGACCATGCGAGACTCTCGAAAACGAGACTCTCGCGGGCACCACTAATTTCGTGCCCACATGAAAATGAAAAATCCCATTCTTGTGAGGAAGGAAATAATGCAATTCTTTATGAGAAAATATATACAATGAAATTCAACGTGTTCCAATAATTTTTCATTCGACCCGGTATACAATCTGCATAGTAATTATAGTTTATATTATATATAGTTTATATTATATTTCCTAGAAGTATGATGTCCATGCAGGCACGTGTCAAGAGTTTCTATGAAAATGAAACGGAGAACGATTGTCAAAAAAACCAATTGACATCAAAATTGATCGAGATTGAAATGAAGAACTTACTGCGTAACCTTGTCAACATGATCCGAAATAGAATACACCATTTTGAACGAAAATTCACTATCCTTCACCAAAACTAATTCTATTCACTACTCCACTCTCCAAATCCGAATCTCAATCGAAACTAGTTCCGCAGATAGATAACCTGTTCGACAGAGATGCAGCACCTAATTATTACACCTAAGTTGGAATCATACTGAACCATGTCAGACAAGATCGAAACGTCCTTGTTTCTAATGCCTATAGACATGGAGAAACATTTTTGAAACTGCTCATGTTATTGCATTTGACTTCATTGACTTTGCAATTTTTCTTGTTTTGATATAATATCAAACATGACAGCAAATAATTTTGCCTGCTTCAATTGGATTACCATAAAATTCCAAAGGCTCAATTCATGTGAAAAATTAGAAAGAAGTTTAATCATTCTAGAAAATGATTGGAGTTTTTTCCATAACAGTAACAGGGTGTTCCCATTAGGCCTCAAAGATCATACACCTATTCCTCAGACCAAAACCTGTAATAAGGAAATTTCATGAGAATTGAAAATAATAATTGAACATCGAGAATTTTCAATCAATAACTATTAAGTAGATAGGATGATTCAAATGAAGAAGGACCTACAACAGGTTCGCATGAGGCTAAAGTTATGATCCTATTTCGGAATTTCACAATAAATTTTTCTATGGCAATAGGACAAAATTCTTGTTATTCTCATCATCATCATCAATGAGGTACTTTGTATGTCAACAATTTCATTTCCGTATATGATATCACAATGACTTCATTGTGTTATTATTTAACAAAATCTCATACCCCATGAGACGTCAAATTTCAAGTAATTACAGCTCTTTCTATAATACTTGAAAAACAATCTACAAGCTAACATTCCGTGCTCGTCAAGCAATATATACTATTTTGTTTTTCAATCTCTTGGTGTGCACAAGAGGGAATCCGTGTTGTATTCTAAGATCATCGTCTCATAAATAGGAGAATGTCTGGAAACCGATTTTCTAGGTTGTTTCAGATTCCAATACGAAACATTAGATATATATATACAGGGTGTTGCGAAATTCGACCGACAACGTTTGACAGGCGATAGCCCTCGTGATTTCATAATCACTGAGATAGGGACATACGATCTCCAAGTGTTCAGTTCTCTAGATACAGGGCGTTGAAGTTGAGAAATTGAAATAGTATTTTCGCAATATCTCAAGAGAAATTGAACATAATGCATTCAAGTTCGGTATATGGTTTCATCTCTCATTGGTTCATTTTTTGACCAGAAAGACATTCCGATAATTTTATCCATAGGTGCGCTACAGGGGGTTGTGATAACTTTTCCTCCCATATTTTCTACGCCACTGACAAAATTTCGATTATTTATAATTTCTCGAATTGCTTGTTCAATTATGTTGAAAAAATGTATCACCTTCAACTGAGCTGAAATGAATAGTTATCGAGATATTTTACCCAAAATAGAAGTTTGCATAGTAATGTTTCATCTTCCTCAGTAGTAGAAAATCACGAAAATATTTGTTTTCTCTTTATGCGTGGAATAACTATTTCTGTCCAGCTACAGGATGAGATCTGAATAGTTTTTAATCTACTCAACACCAGAAATATATTTTGCAATTTTCTACTACTGAAAATGATGAAAAATTAAAATGCAATCTTCTATTTTGGGTCGAATATCTCGAAAACTGTTCATTTCAGCTCCGTTAAAGGTGATACATTTTTTGAACAAAAATGAACAATGAATTCGAGGAATTGGAAATAATTGGAATTTAATCAGTGGCGTAGAGAATATGGGAGGAAAAGTTGCCTCACCCCCCTGTAGGGCACCACTGGAAAAAATGTCCGGAATGGCTTTCTGGTCAAAAAATGACTCATTCAAAGATGAAACCATATACTGAATTTGACAGCATTATATTCAATTATTCTTGAGATATTGCGAAACAACTATTTTTATTTCTCAACTTCAACGCCCTGTATCTCGAGAACTGAACATTTGGAGACCGTATGTTCCTATCTCAGTGATTATGAAATCACGAGGTCTATCACCTGCCAAGCGTTGTCGGTCGAATTTCGCAACACCCTGTATATAGGTACATAAAGGGGAAGAAGTACGTATTACAAGTATATATAGGTCCGTTTCCGAGTTACGGAATGAACTGAGAAATATTAATTGGCCTTATCATTATATTGTCCTGTATATAAGCTTTCAGAAAGCCAGAATTTTGTGTTGTCGATGACTGACAAATTCTTTAAATTCCAAAACACCACCTATTATGACTTTTGAGTAATCTCGAGAGATGTTATGAATGCAACTATATTAGAATTTGAATCCGAGTCAGATTGTGATCGTGTCTCGGATATGAGCGATAAAAAAATAAGGATTTTGTATACTCGGTAATTTGATCAATACAAGTTTCAAATTTGAGGAAGATAGTGGAGCACTGGAATTTGAGGAAAACCAACTTATAGGGGCCTTTGAATTGTGAATAAGAACTACTTTTTCAAAATGACCAATCAATCACTGAAAACATTTTATTTTTCATTTTTGCTAGTGTGATCGTCTTCTGAATTTTCTTGATTACAATCTGAAACACCCTGTAAAAATTGTCTCTGTATTCATGAGTGTGAAGCTTAAACCGTGTTTGAAGAGACTATATCTATGTACAAGGTGTAATTCAATTCCGAAGCTCATTTCAAGAAGAAAACTTCACATAATATGAACATATGCCCATAACCTCTCAACTTTCGAACTGTGGGGGTATGTTTTTGTCTAATTTTCATTCAATAGTAAAGTCAATCGATATTGAATAGCTAAGAAGGTTTTCATTTTTTCACGCGGAAACGGCGGTGCTTCGGACGAAAAAAGAAGTCAAATTGTTGAAAAGTTTGTGAGGTTTCCAAAAATTAATTTTATTTTGTCATATTTTTTTATAAAAAATCATGGTATACATCTCAAACGGACGCCACTGGTGAACATACCAAGAAATCTCCTGCACCAAAAAATGGGTGCATGTCGAATTTCATTAAAATACCTAGAACAGTATATCGAAGTTATGATAAGAAAACGAATTTTTTCCTCCAGATTCATGAAGTATATGTTTTGTGAAAAACTGTTTAAATCAATTGTGAATTCAGTAAAGTTGACGAATATGTTATGTATCCCCGGGAACAAAAATGGCGAACATTAACTTAACTAGCAAATATATGTTTATCTGATGGCATGTCATAATGACAACGTTATGTCACTCAATTTTGATGACATAAGGAAGCTCATTATGGGACTAAGTACCATAATGAAATTCTATAAGGAAAACATGTAATGGTTTGATCAAAAAAGTTTATTCAAAATGCATAACTATGTACAAAACTATTTATTATAAATGGTAAAAGAACAATTACTACAATTTGTAATATTAATATAATGGCAAAGCACAGCTCACTCACCTACTAATATTTGAAACTACACAATACTTACTCCTTTAAAAATAGTTGTCATTGTGACATGTCGAAAATGCAGTTTTTAATTTTTCGAAAATGTATTGATATAAATGCCATCAGATAAAATTTTGTATGTAATACGAATCATAAACAATCATTATGGCACACGCCGTGTTATCGGACTCGGCTACGCCTCGCCCGATAACATTCACGACTTGTACCATAATGATCGTCTTTATATGATCCTTATTACATAAATAACTATTATTGCTCATCATGTCCAAATTATGGTACAAAAGAATTATGGTACGGATACCATAGAAACTGTTGGGTTGTTAGCTTCATGTGTGTTATATGTGGCACGCACTTCGAGAGGAGATAGGGCGTCCCAAGAAAATAAAAAAGTCCACATTAACAAAAGACGTAGAAGGCCTCGTTTGCGCGCTACAGGGTGTTGAAGTTGAAAATATTTATTGAATGTTTTCAAGTCCACCCTGTATGGCTTATCGTGGTGGCAAAATTCAGTCTGTTATGTGACTGACATAGTGCCACAATTATAGAATGATATCTATCATGTTATAGAGTTATCTGAACAGATGTCTTGAATGGACTATTCCCTATCCTCTACATCTACATCAAATTTTGGATTTGAATTTGGTTATCCGGTATTTATCGAAAACGGCCAAGTGTATCTCTATGAGTTTCAGAACTTTTGTTTTTTTCTACAAAATTGCATCTTCTTTCATATTTTCGAATAAAATTTTGAAAAGTTTCATCGCCACCCATGTTTTTTCTGAAAAATCTCACATCAATACCCCTTAACGGTACCACTGGGAGTCAGATTGACTGAATAATGCTAGAGTGAGGGTTGCTGGGCTGTGTGTACGTGAATATAAAATATACCAAAGAAGGGAAGATTTGTAATTCGAATAAATTATTTTGCACGAAATACAAATCTTCCCTTCTTTGGTGAATAATGCTACTCATTCTATCACTCTCAGGTACTGAGTTATGCATCAGAATATCAAGAATATTTGTTCAGCGGTTATGTAGAAATTCGATAAGAATTATTATTTATTTTCAACTTTCAACACTCTGTATTCCGCAAACAAAGCCTTTTACTTCCACGACATTTGTTTATGTAAACTTTTCTATTTTTTTGAGATGCCCTGTATATCCCTGAACATTCAGGGGATATGGGTATGTTTATCAGGCGATTATGATACTGTTTATATGAATACAGGGTGGTTCACGGGTAATGGCGTATTAAAAGCATCTGCATGGAGAACGGTAGAATTTATTCACATGTTCAGTTTGAAGTATACTTGCTACAAGATTTGCTACCATCTCAATTTTCTTCGGGATACGTAACTTTTCGATTAGATGTAGATGAGCTCATCTGTCTTTATTGCTCGACATATCGGACATTGTGAATGTTCTGATTACCAATTATGATATTGAACATTTTTAGATATCTACAAAAACTAAAACCTCAAGGAGGGGGCAGGAGTGAAGTTTTGAGAGGTGCACCCTGTATATATATGAATACACGAGCGGCTGATTTCCACCTTGATCTGTCCTGATAATTATGGAGATAATTTCGAATGAGCAATTTGTTGAAGTAATTATTATGGTGAGAAAACTCATCAAGGTCTATACATTTAATTTTGTAACAGGTAGCAAACTTGGCCAGCAAATATATTGAAACTTGGATACAGTTG